CAGGAGATCCCTTCAAATTTCGTCCAGAGATGATGAGAAGACGGTGAAGGTTTTCGTGCCGGAAAATCAGGTAAGATAATTGTTCAAAAGTTTTCAATTTCCTATTTGTTACACGACAAATCTTATCTCTCTCGTGCGAATATTTTTCATCTTTTTTCTTTCTGTTTTTCTCTTTGGGTTTCTTTTACATGAAAGAAGATAAAGAGGTTAGGAACAGATTCGAAGAAAGTAATTAAAAAAAGTTAAAAATTTTTAAGAATGAAGTTATAGTTTAAATAATTAATTAATATTTATTCGTAGTCATTATAATTGATTCGTTATTTCATATATATAACCTCGATCATTTGACAGTACAGTTATTCGCGATTATTTTTATGTTTCGAAGAATAAATTATCGAAGTAAGTTTATTCGTAACTTCAATTATTAAATTTTACCTGTCTATGATAAGTTGGAAGAAGTACGATTTTATTCTTTTATACACGAACACAAATATAGTATAATCGAATCGAGTATATTTGAGTGCCAATTTGTGCTAGCAATGCACAGTAGCGACGATTGCCTGTTGTAATGAAGAGTATTATTGATGGAATTATTCGAAGCTATTTTTCTAATTGATTTATGATCAAAATTTATCGAAAAAAAAGGATAAATTTTAAGACATTTATTGTTTGTTATTGAATTAAATTTTTAAAAAAAATTCGAAAATTATTACACTCGTATCCAATGATTTTTTTCAAATTCTGAAGATTGTTCGAAATAAAAGATTCGCTTATTTTGTTTTATCGATAGACTCGTTTTCTCTATACATTTCGTTATTTCTATTTATCGTTATGCTTATATATTTTATTTACAGCTGGTATCCGTATTTGTGCGCGATGCTATGACAGTGGAAGAATTCCTCGCAAGCGCTTGCAATAGAAAGAACCTTAATCCGATGGAACATTTCGTTCGCGTGAAAAAACGCCGCGACATGGAAGATCATAATTATTTCGTACCACATAGAACCGACTTGATAGAAACATACGTGAGTATTTTATATAATATATAGAAGACACGATAAAAATTTGAAATTCTGTAATTTTCGAAAGTTGGGATTTCCTTCCTTTTGTAATTGCTTTTTAAACGGTTTACGGATATCGAAATACATTGTCGCGATATACACACGTGAAAACATCGTGACAGGTACATCGATACAAGCGACACCACAGTGGTTCGAATAATGTATATTAACATTATAGTGAGTATTTTATATAATGTATGCTATTAAACTATTAAAGTCGAGAGAAAAGACATATAGAAAATACGTCACGGCAAAAATTCGAAATTCTGTCATTTTCAAAAGTTTATTTTATTTTTTTCCTTCTGTGATTACTTCTAAACGGTTTACGGATGTCGAAATACATTGTCGCGATGTATATACACGTGGAAACATTGTGACGCGTGCATCGATACAAGCGACACCATAGTGATTCGAATAATGTATATTAACTGGACAAAATTAATTTTCAAATATATAAAAAATAATTGTTTCGATGTAATGCAATTCGTAGCAATTATATATTAAAATTTTATAAATTTTTAAATGTTTATAAAAATACGCGTATATAGAGGTAATTGATATTTAATCGATAATTGATCGGTCATATTTCAATAATTTTTTAAGGCGTCTTTAAATTTCAATTTCAATTAATTAAAATTATTATAAATTATAATGATCAATAAGTTTTTTATAAGAGTCGAAATGTGTGAAAAACTCTTTACTTTTTTTTTACTGTTATATTTAATTCGCAAAATTATATTAAAATTAATTTTAATGTTTACGGTTACTTAACAAATTCTTTAATCTAGCCATTGATATTTATGAAATAATTTTACCTATCTTATATTATAATATATATATATAACATTATTAATAATTCCTAACTTTAATTGATAATTTTTTTATTTTTTTCAATATTTGAGTAATCGATATGCAATATATCTTCTTATAATGCCTTTTTCATTTAATAATTTTCAATTTTATCGTTTTTATTGCTAAATTATTACTGTTTAGATATCCATATCTGACCCATCTATCTATCGCATAATTTTAGGATCACAAATATTTCTATATCTGTATATTTATACATATTTTTTATTCTAATACTAAATTAAACGCAACGTTAATTTTTTTTTATATATTTACTCACGCATTTTTACGCTACATAAATTTTTAATAAAATAATAAATTATAAAAAGTAATATTATTTTCTAAAAATTAAATCTCCATATATACTCAAAACCAGAAAAAAAATAATTTTGTCCTCCTATTATTATTCGAACCACTGTATTAACGAATTAATAAAACTTTCATGCTTTGCACAAAGTCGAAGCCATTTGCATATAATTCCATTATTCGAGTCCGATACACGTTTCAACGTGTATCTAAAATCCTTTGTCACTCGAATATATCCAAATCCAATCGAAGTTACACGAACTTTAAGCAACTTGTTGAACAACAACAATAGTCTTTAAACTGTTAAAAATATAATTATAATTTCAGTTGCACACGCACGAAGTGGTCGAGGTATGCGCGAAGATCCTGTATCAAGTGGAGTTGCAAAGGAACACCCTTGAACAAATGTGGGGATTCTCGGTGGAGGCGGAGTTGATCGAGAATTCCGATCGACAGGACGAGCTGTGCTGTTACGTCAGCAGGGTCGAGGATAAGAGCGTAGCAATGCAGAATGGTAATTGTATTTATATCGTTGGGATAAACCTTTCGGGCGATTCGTCGCGATCGATTGCACGCACCATTCCATCCCTCTCTATAAAACTGGCTCGACGTGTATGTATAAATAGAAGGCCGAGTCGATCGAGCCCAAGATCCTTCTTTCCGTCCCTCTTTGATCTAATTTAAGAATGAAGGTGAGATACACGTGGAAACACAAAGTCGAGCGTCCTTAATCAGATTTTTTTTTTTTTTGTCTGCATCTACAGGATATCTTGTGGGGAATGACATTGAAAAATATTGATTTTTTTTTCTCCCCTCTCCTCCCTCTTATTATTGAACAAGCAAACTTGCAACAGACACATCCTTCAAACGAAGCATACATAACTGCACTCATGCAATATATATATATATATATGTAAGTAAGATACTATCGATATAAAAACTAAGTTCTTCGCTTCCCTCTCCTCTCCAGGTTATAAATTATTCGCGTGAACAGAATATTATTCTTTTTCCTTTCCTATTTATTTTCCATTTTAAATGAACATTACTCGAAAGCATCCATCTTCGTTCCAATTTTCGGTCAAGGATATTTTCCCATCTTTGCTTATTTGCTTCTCAGGTATCATTAAAGGTGACGAAATCATGGTGATCAACGGCGCGATAGTGAGCGACCTGGACATGATGTACCTGGAAAGCGTGTTGCAAGAGGAGGTCGGTTTGTGCATGATGATGAGATCCTCGAGGACCGAGCCCCCGGATCTTACGGGGATAATGAGAGTGACCGACGACATAATCGAGAGTTTGGTTTGCCCACCGCCACCCTCCGACCCGCCTGTTATAAGCGAAGAAATGATCTCTGGGTTAATCGTTCCGGCTCCTGGATGGAGTAAGCAATATCCATTTGTCGTTATAATTTAGTTAATCGTAGTGGTATTATTGTAATATGGAAGGCTCATGAGAAGTTACGTTCTTTGAACGTATAAGTAGATAACGTATAATATCGATCGATAAATCGTTAAATTGTTAATTATATGGAATTTTAATATAAGATATTGATTTCTAAATCTAATTGGCTCCTGGATGGAGTGATATTTATCATTTGTTTATTTGTCGTTATAATTTAGTTAATCGTAGTAGTATTATTATAATATGGAAGACTCGTGAGGAGTTTTTTAAACGTATAAGTAAATAAATAAACGTACAATTTTTTCGATCGATAAATCGTTAAGTTATTAATTATATGAAATTTTAATATAAGATATTGATTTTTAAATCTAATTGGCTCCTGGATGGAGTGATATTTATCATTTGTTTATTTGTCGTTATAATTTAGTTAATCGTAGTAGTATTATCATAATATGGAAGACTCGTAAAGAGTTTTTTAAACGTATAAGTAAATAAATAAACGTATAATTCTTTCGATCGATAAATCGTTAAGTTATTAATTATATGGAATTTTAATATAAGATATTGATTTCTAAATCTAATTGACTCCTGGATGGAGTGATATTTACTTATTTGTTTATTTATCGTTATAATTTAGTTAATCGTAGTAGTATTATTATAATATGGAAGACTCGTGAGGAGTTTTT